CTGGCTGCCCCAGACTCTAGAGCAAGCACCAGGCACCTGAGGCCCCCCAGGTCCCGCCTGGGCACCACGGTTGCTCCCAGGCAGGGAACAGGCAAGACACGTGGCTCCCCAGCCGTGAGACCCAGACGCCCGCCCCGGGCCCTGCCAGTCCCAGCTCCGGCCGCCTGTGCCGCGCGTGGGGCCGTGTCAGTGCAGCCGGTCGAGACTTTCTGTCCACGGTGAAAGTTACCAGCAGTGAAACTGCAGCCGCCACAGGGGAGGCTGGGCCCTGTGACCCCAGCTTCACCTGCAGCCCCTGCCCCGGGCCCTGCAGCTCCTTTGGCCCCCGCGATACCAGGGCCTGGCCAGGGCAGGGGCAGACCCAGCTGCCCAGCACCTGCTGGAGCCCCAAGCCCGGGTCCTGGCGGCACGGGCAGGGCCCCCCCTCGGGTCTCCATGACAAGGTGCCGCTCGGCGGTAATTACGCTAAACGAGCCCATAATTGCTGGCGCCAATTATCTCCCCATTAGTGCTCCTCTCCGGTTGGTGCCCGCGTAACCTGGCGGCGGCACAGATTAGCTGCGCACAGATTGCCGCGCTGCGAGGGAGTTAATTGTCCCCGACGGGCCGCAGCGGTGGGGGCTAGAGACGCCGCTGGGTGCTGCTCCCCGCACCGGGCACCTAGGCCGCGAGCCGTGGCAGGGGTGCCCAGGCGGGCGGCTGGGCTTGCCTGGGGCCGCCGGGGATGGGGACGCACCCCTTACCTTGGAAGCGGAAGCGGAAGGCGCCGGCGCCGGCGCGGGCAGGCGCAGGGCTCTGGTACCGCACGGCCACCTGGTTGCTGGGGCTGCGGATGACCTGGCCGCGCAGGAGGAAGGACTCGTTGGCCAGGACCACGGGCTCGGCGCCCCCGACCGTCTCCACCGTCACGGCCTCCCCCTCCAGCAGGCTGATGTTCTGCACCTGCAGGCACAGGGCATCGTCAGCTCCCACGCCCCTGCCCAGCCACGCGCGCCATTGCCCCCGGCCCAAGCTCCGGGGCCGCAGCGGCAGGGCCCAGGCCTCACCCCAGCCTGAGGCCGAGTAGACAGCAGCACAGATGCCCCTGCCCCGGGTGGCCAGACCGTGCCCTGTGCCCGTGCTTGCCCCCGCTGCCCCAGGCCCGGCCCCGGCAGCACTCCCGGCACCGGGAAAGCGTCTTCCACGAGTCACTGAGCGCGGTGATGGCTGTCTGCGCCACACACCCGCGCCGCCCACACCTTTCAAACTCACTTAGCCTCGCCATAAATCTTGGCCCCGACCTGGCAGGGCTGATGAGGCGGAGGTGGCGCCGGGGCAGGCACCGGGCTCCGCTGAGCCGCGGCCGAGCGGGGCCTTGCCGGAGAGACTGGGCCTGCCGCTGGGCGCTGCTGGGCTTTGCAGCTGTACGGCAGGTCCCAGCCCTTTTTGGCCCCCTTGGAAAACACCAGCTCTTCACTTCCACTGAGTTTTTTGACCACAGGAAAACACCCGAGCGGGGCTGTGGCTGCAAGGTGTGGCAGGGCAGGACTGGGGGCCAGGGGGCTGCGGGTCGGGAGTGAGGGGCGCTCACGCAGAGCCCACGAGTCCTGCCCAGCCCCCCGCCGCCCAGCCCCTGCCTTTTAGTGGCAGTGCAGCCTTTGCTCCATCGCCATGGAAACGGCTGCAGTCCCCAGCCAGCACGCATCCTGGGCAGCTGTGGTTCCCAGTGGCAGAGCAGCACCGCCCGGCTCGGGGGGGGACACGTCCGCAGGATTGGGGCCGCCCAGCCGGGCGAGCAGAGCCTGCAGCTGCCCCCCCGCCAGAGCCCAGCCCGGGACGCTCAGCGGCTTGGCCGAGCTGCAGGACGGAGCCAGGCATCCGGGGCCGGGCCGGGAGCTGGGGGGTCTCCATCCCCAGGCCCCGTGCCCCTGCCCCGCGGCAAAGCAGAGTCCCCTCCCGCCTCCCTGCGCCGCGGTGGCCTCGTGTGCGGTGAGCTGGAAGCCTCTGCTGCTGCCGGGGCCTAGTTAGGCCACGCTGGGGGGCCTCAAATGTCGGCCGAGCCCCACGTGCCGTGAGCTGACAGTCGACCGTGCGGCTCGAGCGCTTCCCGGAGCGGGGGACAGGGAGGATGCCCAGCCCTTCCCCGTGGGCAGCACACTTCTCCAGGCTTGCTCCTGGCTTCTCCCCTGCCACGGCCACTGCCAGCCCTCCGGGCAACGGAGCCCCCGGTGCCCACCACCCGCGCCCCCTCCCTGGGGCAGACCAAGCCGCCAGCCCTTTGTCCAGCCCCAGCTTGGCGCGTCCAGAGGGAGACATGGCACCTGCGCGAGGCCTCCCCGTGCCCATCCCAGCTTGCACGCACACAGCTTGCCAACCCCATCCGCCCTGGCCGCCTGCACTGACCTTGATCTCCACGCCGTAGCCGGGGTACACGGAGATGACGTAGGTGCAGTCCAGGCTGCCCTCGGGGCCGGCGCTGGGGCCGGGCGGCTCCGGGGACTCCAGGGAGCCCTCGGGGCCCGTGAGGTTCCAGGCGCACGGAGCTGGAAAGCAGCAGGGTCCGATGGGCCACGTGCCGGCTGCGCCAGCCCCCGGCCCCCCGCACCCAGCATCCCCCAGGGGCCACAGGCAGCCCCCCAGAGCCTCCCCTGCACGAGCCCAGCTGGCACGGGGTCTCACCTGGCGCTGGCCCCGTGGTGATGGTGGTGGTGGTGATGAGGGTGGTGCTGGTGGTGTCCTCGTCGTCCCCGGAAGCCGTGGCGCTGGGGGTCACCGCTGTCCGGGGCTCCACAGCCTGGGGCAGGGTCGGGCCGGGCACCCGCGGGGGTGCCGCCAGGGCCGGGGGTCTGGAGGCGCTCGGGGGGCTGCTGGTCACCGTGGCGGGGCCTGGGCGCAGCAGGCCGGCAGGGGAGAAGGTCGGGGCAGAGGTGACCGGGGCCTCCGTGCGCACCGGCCCGGGGACAGTGGCACGTGGCTCTGGCCACGGCACCACCGGGCCCGCGGCCGTGGCCAGCAGCTCCGTGGTGAAGACCAGCCTGGCCATTTCAGGTGTCCCCTCCATGTCCCCAGCCTCGACTCTGTCCCCCATCAGTGCTGTGGGGGCGGAGGCCGTGCTGGGCTCGGGGAAGGCCGGGGGCTCATCCGGGCGTGCCAGGCTAGGTGCGGGCGTCGGGGCGAGTGACTCGGGTAGGTCAGGCAGGTCGGGGCGCTGCGCACCCCCGGGGAAGGGCCCTGGGCGGGGGGCGTCCCGCAGGAAATCCTCCAGCAGCGGGTGGTGGTTGAGCAGGTCGAGCGGGGGGGCCGTGGTGATGAAGCGGGCCTCGGCTGCGGGCTCGTCCGGCGTGGGCAGCGCCGTCGGCTCCTCCTCCCAGCTGCCCGCTCCCTTGCGGGCCAGCGCGTTGGGCGCCTCGGTCTGCAGCCCTGCAACAAGGAGATGGCCCGTGGTGGTGGCAGTCAGCAAGGCCCCTTGTCCCCAGCGCCAGCCCTGCCCCCTGGCACCCCAGGGCTCTGCTGGGAGCCTGCGGGCTGTGCCCAGAGAGACCCTCCTGCTTAACCGGAGGTGGCACCTGCTGCTCCGCATGCCGAAGGGTGCATGCACATGCATGTGCATGCGTGCATGCAGGAGGTCCCCGGCTGGTGTCCCTCACTGCCGACCTGCGGCCCCCTACCCCACACCCCATGACGCTCCAGGAAGAATTGCCCCACGGAGCCAGCGGTGCAGGGAGCAGGGGTCCCGCAGGGAGTCCTGGTGCAGGGCTGTGACCCCCAAGGAGCCAGAGCTCCAGGCTGGGCCCCCGCCGGCATGTGCAAGGAGCCACGGCCCTGGGGGTGCGAGCAGGGTCCTGGCCGGCATACGCGGGCGGCTGCCCTGCCGCGGAGCCCCCCACCCCCATGGGACCGCAGCTCCGGCTAGAGGGACGTGATGCCAGTTGCCATGGCTACTCAGGCTGCGCTGTGTACAGCAGATGCTCGTGGGAGGCCAGCGGGGCCGAGGGCCAGGCCCTGCCACGGGCAGGCTCCCCTCGCCCAGCCCCAAGACGCCCTGCAGGCCTCGGCCCCACAGCCGGCTCCCAAGGGGCCTCAGAAGAGACAGGTCAGGGGCCTGAACAGAGCCCCCACGCAGGGCAAGGGCCCCATCCAGCTGCTGCCCCCGTGCACAGACCACACGCTACCACAGGGCAGGGCAGGCGGGGAGCGCTGGGGTGCGGGCTGCGTGGCAGGGTCCTGCCACGAGCGCCACGCTCCAGCCCCCGCACGCGCTCTCCCGAGCTGCGCAACCCCGCACGGAGCCCGTGAGGCCTCGGGACGGGACAGGAACGGGCCGCGCCAGCCCCAGCAAGAACTGGACAGGCCTCCCTGGCGCCCCCGCCACCCCTGCCCCAAGGCATCCAGCACCCACCATGGAGGCACCCAGGAGCCCGGTAATACCCGGCTCGGGACCCCGTCGGAGCGAGGCCTGGGAACCCCCGGGGCAGCCCACGCTGCAGGCCCTACAGCAACACGGCAGCTGTTTGCTCTATTGCCCAGGGCTGGGCAGGGGCCACGATGCACCCGCCACGGGCGCCTGCATCGGCTGCGGCCAAGGGGCTCGCCATCGGGCCCCAGCGCAAGGCGCCAAGGTGGGACGGGGGCTGCGTTAGCAGGCAGGACGCGTCTCACGAGCGGCGGCACGGGCCCGACGACACGATACTGCCAATTAGCGGGCAATTATCCTGTGCCGCACCAAAGGCATGGCCCTGCCAGGATTAATGACTGCGCTGCTGCCTCCTGCGAGGCACCGGGAAGGAGCCAGCTCTGTGCTGGGAGGGAGCTCTGGGCTCCCGGGGCAGCCGCAGGGCCCAGGGCCAGGCGGGCGCCCGCTCCCAGCCGCACCGGTGCTCTGCAGCCCGGGACGGAGCATCGCCAGGCCAGGCCGAGCCCAGTGCAGCCACATCCACTTCCCCTCCCTTGGCTGGGGAGCAGCCGGCCTGGGCCTGGAGCCTACGTGCCCGGGGGCCGCCCCTGCCACGGCCCCCCCTGCAAGCGGAGTGGGCGCAGGCGCCGGCGCTCACTGCAGCAGCCCAGAGGCGAACTTGCACCCAGCGCGCAGGGAATTATTTTTTAATAGGATCCATTTATTAGCCCATAAAAGTTAATGAGTTTATTCTGGAGGGCGCCAGGATCCTGTGTCGCTGTAATAGGGGATTAGCGCCGCAGCCCGGCCCCCTGCCTCGTTACCTGCTGCCTGCAGCGCTGCGCCCCCACGCCCAGACACGGGCCCTGTGGTCCTGCAGCCACCGGCTGCCACGCATGGGATCTCCTGGCGGCTGAGGCCCTGCCGCCCACAGAGGCCCCTGGGAGCTGGACAGCTCGGGGCAGCGGTGCAGGGACCAACCGCTGGCCCAGCAGCCGAGTGACCCCACAGCCCCAGAGCTGCCCTGGAGCCCAGCCAGCACCCACCCAGGCTAAGGCACAGCGGCTTGCCCAGGTGCTGACCAGCGGGGCTGGCACCCGGGTGCCTGCACCAGCTCCCAGGAGCCCCCAGTGTGGACTCCCAGAGGGTTGGGAGGCTGGGGATGGGGAGTTGGGGTCAGCTTCCCTGGGTTTGCCCCGAGCATGGGGGCACCGGCCCCTCCCTGCTTCCCTCCCTCCCTCCCCGCACCAGGCTGCGCTGCCAGGCTTGGCAGTGGCAGTGGCTGTGCCGCGACTGCTCTTGTTCCAATCAAGCAGCAATCAGCCCGTTTCCAGGTACCTTTCCCTAGTAACAAGCAGCCAGCTGGGGGCGGGGCTGGAGGAGAGCAGGGGGCACCCTGGCAGCACTGGCATGCGAGGTCTTGGCGGGGTACCAGGCTGAGCCTGGCGAGTGCCCCGCGCCCCGGCCGTGCCCAAGACGGAGCTGGCACTGCCTGGAGGCTCCGGAGGGGCTTGCACCCATCCCCTGGGGCTGGGGGGCCCTTGCGAGCGCACCCGAGGGGGAGCCGGCAGCCGCAGCGCTGCCCGGACAGTGCTGCGAGGAGCCGTGCCGCGCAGCCGTGTCCCAGCCCAGCAAAAAAATGAGTCCGCGGGGCCTGGCCCAACCCCGGGAGGCTGTGGTGCCCATGGCAGGGCAGCCCCGTGCGAGGGGGCAGGGTGGGGGCTCGCACCCCCTGACGCTGGGGCAGGCAGGGCCGGCAGCCCCCGAAGCAGCTGGCGAGGCCTCAGCCCTCCATCGCAACCAGACTCTGTTCAACACGGGCAGGAGCTGGAGGTGGGACAGGTGCCCGCACCGCGGGTGCCTGCATGGTGCGGTGCAGCGCACGGCCGGGCTGCCCGGCCTCCGGGTGCTGACTGTACAAGGCAGGGTTTGTTTTCCAATTTAAAATCTAATCTGGCCGTGCCCCGCGGGCCGGGCTGGCAGCCGTGATGAATGAGCTGTCAGGCGCCTGGCGCCTCACATTAACCTTCCTGCTGCTTGTCCCTGCTTCTTTGTGCAGCTTCCCCCTCATTGCCCCCCTCTGCCCCTGCACCCACCGCCGGGGCTCCCACAGGTGGCTCTGTGGTGGGCAGCGCCTGGGGACAGCACCCAGATCAGCCCCAGTGCAGCCCCCGCGCCTGGGGGCCCTCGCGCCGTGGTGCATGCTGCAATGGGCCAGCTCCCTCTGGGGTAGCCGGGGGCTGCGGGTCAGGAGTGAGGGGCACCAACGGGGCGGGGGGCTGCATGGCGCCTGGGCTGGCCCCCATGGGGATGCTCTGAGTGGGGCCAGCCCCGTGCATCCCCCAGCTGCCTGCCTGGCTCTGGCACCAGCCTGCCACGTGCCCACGCACACCCACCCCACGTCTGCCCTTGGCTGGACCTTTGCCCCAGGACTCTGCATCCTCCCTGCCTCCTCATCCTGGCCCGCGGCAGGCGCCCCCGGGGAGGCATCCTTGAGAGATCAGGGGCAGGGTCTGGGCACCAGCTCCCAGTGCACACGCCGTGCTCCAGCCGGCAGGAGCAGAGCAGCCCCGGGAAAGGTCACGAGCAACAGACCGTGGCGAGGGCCGCACCATGCTGTGCCGGTGACCTTTCCCTGCCAGGGTGAGGAGGGGCTGCAGCCACGCTCCCACCCCCAGCTCCAGGAGCCCAGGGGACCCCACCCTCGCCGCTGGCTGCCAGGGCCGGTGCAGGAAAATCGATGGCCCGACGGAGGGTGCTCCGTCCTTGGCACAGCAGCCATGTAGGCCATAGCAGGCGCCCAGCGGCACATGCCGGAGCCAGGAGCACTAATGAGAGCAGACAGGCAGCCCCCCGGGAGGTGGTTGAGGCACAGCAGGAAGGGATGGGGGAAGCCTTCACTCCTGCCCTGTGCTCGCAGGCACCAGGGTCAGTGGGAGCAGGCTGGGTGCTGCATCGTGGTGCCCGCGGGGCTCAGCTAGCACCAGCGAGATGCTGGGTGTTACAGCTGCCAGAGGCAGTCCCCCAGGCACAGGGCTGGGGCAGGCTCGAG